TATAGAGCCTCCGTAGAAATACTGATGACCGTCTCGTGATGCGTTATCACTTCATGTTGGTTCATGTACGCGCAATTTGTTAAAAAAAATTGCGTACTTTTCATATCCGCATCCCCCCGCCCGTTTTAATTGAAGAGATTTATACCACAACTTTTCTTCAAATAAACAAGGAAAAACGACAAAGAATGTGAAGATGGAATTGAAAAATTGGGAAATTTTTATTTATATGTGGAGTTTAACGTCCTAAAACCACCATATGATTATGAGAGACGCCGCATAGCGGAAGGCTCCGGAAATTTTCGACCACCTTGGGTTCTTTAACGTGCACCCAATTCTGAGAACACGGGCCTACGGAATTTCGGCCTCCATCAAAAATGCAGCCACCGGAGCCGGGATTCGATCCCGTGACCCGCGCGTCAGCAGCCGAGTATACTCGTCTATTGGCTAAGGTATACCTTATCCACTAGACCACTCCGGCGGGGCAGGACGCCAATCCAAGGAAATATTTCTTGGCTCGATTGTAGCTTGGTTCTCATTAAGGCTATGTCTAACAAAGCTCCCAAATGCCTCCTTCTTTCGTTAATTATTACCAAGCTCTCGTTCGACTTGATGCCTTCAGGTGATACCCGAGAGATTCCTGGTCAGCAGGAAGCTCGTAAGAAGATCACATACTAAAGAACACCAACAGGCAAAAAACAACAACAACAAAAAAAACGGCGTTCCACTTTCACCGTCATGGCTAAGGGGTGCGCTCACTAATACTTTTACATTTAAAGGGCCAGTCAACAAGCTCCGGAACGCGCAGGAAAAGCTCGCGCATTTTTCGTACGCCTGACCAACCTTCTTCCACACGCTGTGACGTCAACTCGGCGATCGATGACGTTGACTAAGTTACTCTTTATTGATACCTGGTTTAGACCAATCGACGAGCTGCGTGCTACGCCACGTCGCCGATCGCCGAGTTGACGTCACTGCGCGTTGAAGGAGGTTGGTCACGCGCAGGAAAAATGCACGAGCTTATCCTGCGCGCTTCGGAGGCTGTTGACTGACCCTTTAAGTGCACAGATATATCTGATAAAGTGTACGGGGGATGACCGCTGCCGTAGCTCAATTGGCGCGCATGAAACGCGCTGTTCGATGGTTACAGGTTTGGTAACTGGTCGCCGGCAAGCTATCTTTTTGTCACATTTTGCCACATTTCTGACACAATCACCTATAGTCATGTTTGAAAGCGTACGTAGTATTTTTTATACCATTCTGTGATCACATCCCTCACATGGGTGACTTTAACCACTGTTTTCTAACGACGTCCGTAGTAATATGCTATGCGAGGCGCCCTTGACGCAAAAAAGAATATATATATATATATATATATATATATATATATATATATATATATATATATATATATATATATATATATATATATCCGATTTCATAATAAGATATCACCTATACATTATTAAAACAGGCACAATTTACACGCCATGCCAAAGATATTCTTTTTCTCGCCCACTGCTTGTAGTCCAGAAAGGTTTGTGCTCAATGTTATTTTCTTCGTGGCTGTAAAATATGTGTAAATTGATACATCGACGTTTTTCACGCTGCGCTATAGCTGACGAATTCGCTGAGCTAGCTGACGCTGGTGAAAAGCTATAGCACTATTATTAAGAATTTGATACACCAAACGCAGGCTCGAGGGCTCTATTGTAACAGAAAACTGAACGCATACTGCTGAATATCGAAAAAAGAAAACGTAAAAGAAAAAAAAAACATTTTAGTGGTGCTGGCGCCTTTAATCAGAAACCAGGTGTCATCAAGTATTCCATAACTGAATTAAAAACGAAAAGAACGTGGCTACGAGACGACCAGATGATCAACTTTATGCCAGGAAACAGTGTGATTATAAGATGCATACGCTTCATTCTGCAGCCGCTGTGAGCAGTTTGCGGTGCATCGAATGGAAGGAGAGTTTTTTATTCTAGTACTCGTTATTTTGCAGGATTGAAAGACCCGAAGCTACTCGGGCCACGTGAGATGCCTTAGGGCTCCAAGTAATGTCAACCACCGGAAGTTTTTTAACGAGCACTGACATCGTACACTACACAGGCTTCTTTGGGCTTTTCTAGCATTTCGCTTCAGTCGAATCGCTACCGCCTCGACGGCGATCATGTTCATGTCTTTCGGGTCTGCAGTCGAAACGGTAGCCGCTGCATCCCCGTGACAGCCATTCGGGCACTTGTATGACTAGGCGGAAGTAACGAAAGTTTGCTGTGTTGCAGTGTTGATTGATTGATATGTGAGGCTTGATTGATATGTGGGGTTTAACGTCCCAAAACCACCATTTGATTATGAGAGACCGCCGTAGTGGAGGGCTCTGAAGATTTCGACCACCTGGGGTTCTTTAACGTGCACCCAAATCGGAGCACACGGGCCTACAACATTGATATGTGAGGATTAACGTCCCAAAACCACCATATGATTATGAGAGACGCCGTAGTGGAGGGCTCCGGAAATTTTGACAACCTGGTGTTCTTTAACGTGCGCCCAAATCTGAGCACATGGGCCTACAACATTTCCGCCTCCATCGGAAACGCATCCGCCGCAGCCGGGATTCGATACCGCGACCTGCGGGTTAGCAGCCGAGTACCTTAGCTACTAGACCACCACGGCGGGGCGAGTGTACTGCAGTGTTGTATTGTTGCTTTTGCCTGGAATGGATTTGTTGCTTCCTGTATCGGTATTCTAGACACAATTTGCCGTTACGGAATTATTACACGAGCATAAAATTCAGCCTCGCGCAGTCTTGCGTTGGGCTGTTCTAAGGAAGAACCCCAATCGAAGGAAAATGAAGTTGCAAGTGCTGAAGGCTTGCTTCCACGCAATCTCGCTTTATTTGTGCTAACAAATTTTTCACTCGAAGATGTGATCAACTGTCACCACGCATCCCGCAAGCGGCCAGTGACCCACACATGTTTATTTTCACCCCGCATTTTTATCTGTTTTCCTCACAAGTAGGCTTCTGAGCTACACAGACATGACCAGTATAAAGCATTGTTTTTGTTAGGAACTCAAGTGTACGCCACTTGTTGAAGAATAAACAGCTGAAAAAAGACTGTATTTTAAAATCGGCGTACAGATTTAGTCAATTTGGCGATTGGTATCGATGTGCTGTTTGAATTCTGGTACTGAATTTTCCTCATAAGTGACGATATATGGGAAAAATTTTCTTGGATATGGCAGCGTTTGCTGACAATTTGTACACCTTCGCCCCTCCCCTCCTCCCAATTTTATCTTCTTCGCTGTCCTGGCCCGTACGAGACTAAATTGCATGATTGCAGCCTGCTGGTTGAGGCGACTTTGAGACCCCTTGTTTAGAGAATAAGAGCGACGGCCGCGATAAGAGTACACGGTACAGTCCACCTCTTCAATAACAATAAAATAACCGCACAAAGTACTTTCTCGACACAACACCACCCGAGTGAGTACAAGATTTTATACATTACTCACGGTTTCTATGACTGGTGAGCGACTTCACAGCGTCCTGTTTTGCCCTGCAGTCTATTAAAATTATAAGTCGGAACCGAAGCGGGAGATTCTGCCGGTGTCTGTGAATCAAAAGTGCAGTTTCGCGAACACCCGAGCACTCCAGTCGCGCAAATGTTTTTCACGCGAAAGCAACGTTAGCTCAGCTTCGAGGCAGCGTGGAAATACGCCTTGTCTGCCAAGACACGGCTATTCCTTCTACCCTGGTGCCACAATACGTTGATACGCAGTACTGATAGCGCAACTGAAGATAGCCTTAATTTGGGAGTACTATCATGCTCAGTATGAACTACACCGTAAAAGCGACTGTCCAAGCGCAATTTAAGGTTGTACAGTGGCGCTGATCGTGACATGTTTGCGCGTTATCATCGGAGAGAGAGTGCGCATCGCCTACATTTGCTTTTCCGTACACCATCATTTTACGATATCGCGATGTCGATTTCGAAAAGAAAAGATAACTTTGAGAATGCAAACAAGCAAGTAGGGGCCATTCGCCTTTGTAGAAAGGGTCAAACTCTCCCCCAATAATTCGAAATTATGCCCGAATAAACGCCCCTGTACAGCATTGAAGAGCGCACAGCCAAGCACCCACATGGTTTAGATCATACTGAACGCCATAGTGCGTACAAGGTGTGTATATATTTACACGAGGGGCAAGCTCACTCTAAATGAAGGATAACGTTAGAATTGTTGATGTACGTGCTAGAAATGGTGAAAGTGAAAACGTACTCGATGCGGCATGGCGGGCCATGTTGCATTTCTTTGGCGGTCTGTAGTACTACAGTCCTTATTTTTGAAGCATCAGCAACGATTTCAGCTTCCTACATGGCGCTGAATATTTGTTAGTGGGAACCACGTGTAAGAAATTTTCGACGTATTTTCGGCGTCACGTCTTACGGTGTGTGGGCACACGCATCACGCTGCCATTGCTGCGCTTCTATCATGATTGACGCATGTGCCGTCGCTTAACCACTTCACTTGCTAACCACGAGCAGCGACTTAATCTACGAGCACTAATCGCTCAGCGTGACGCGGCTCCGACACAAATTTACCTAACGCTGAAAATACGTCCGCCTGAGCTCCTCGTGTAGCAAGCGAGGTAAAATGGATCACTGTTTGTGGCAACGGAATGCTCGCCATAGGTCTATGTGGTGTTGTTTTTTTCCAGGATAGCGTGACGTCATGTTCGATAGTAAAGTCAAGCTGTGAAAAGCGATGCGGTTCACACGAAAAAAGCTAAACAAAGCAATATGAAACAAAATGAAGTAGCCAGTTTTTGAGTACTGCGGCAGTGACTTGCATGGCAGCGTCGAAACGGCGCTGTACTCTTACTTTCTACAATTCTCTTCCTCTTCCAGTGGTATGTTGTCTCCCAAACAGGGCCACTAATGGTCTGAGAGTTCCCCAGGGGAACACTGTTCATCATATGATCACGAACTCCTGGCACGTGCGTAGCTTCACTGCTTAGCGCACAGTCTAACACCACGGGGGGCAAAGAAAAGCCCGCCGACTCACGCGAGAACGCGCACACCCAGGAGTCAGCTGTCACGTAGAGTGACAGGCTCCACTTCGGAAAAGAAACGGGGCCCCCACACAGTGTCTTCGTAAGAACTTGAACGTTTAGCGGGAAAGAGAAGATGCCTTAAGAAGGGTGTAGTACGACGGGCGTAGTGTGTTTACACAGAAAGCAAACACGCGTGAGACATAGGGAGCAAGATTCAGTTTTGCGGAGGCGGGTCTTCGGGGATTTCGTCGTCCACAAAGTAGAGGAACAGCGTCCAGTACATGACTTTGAGCGCGGTGAACGTGACGGGAAAGATGATTCGCGCCCAGGCGTCCATTTCTCCGGCAACTTCGCTCGGAGTGAGGCGCTGCTCTCTCGAGGACGCTGGAGGACCGGCGACGCCACCGCGACTGCACCGTGCGTACGCCGTGTCGGGGTGGCTGTCGCCCAGCCGCTGCTTCGGGCCCCACCAGCGGAAGCCGAATCGCGCCAGGCCCAGCGTGGGGACGCCGGCACGAAGTCGACCTTGCCGCGAGGAGGCGTCTTCCGCGGCATCCGCTAGCACTGCCGCCACCGTATCCTCGTCGGCGTTCTCGAGCCGGAGCCGCACGTTTTCCGAGCCGGACGTCCCGTCGTCCAGCACCGTTTCCTCATGGCCGGGCTCCGTGAGCTCCTGGCAAGGGTGAAAAGAGAGTGGAAAAGAGGTGTAAGTGAAACGGCGGGAGCAATCCATAGTTGGACTGAGAATGCAAAAGACAACAATAAAAAAAGGAAAAAGAGAGAAAAAAAATGAAAGGATGAAATGTATGAATCAGGGCCAGGGTGGGTCGTTTCCATCTAACGTGATGGAAGTGTCAACCTTCCGACGGCAGTAAAGTGTCGTTTATTTGTTTTTAAAGTGTGCCTTAGGGACAAAACACCCATGAAGGAGTGACAATGACAACCTGCGGAAACAGCTTCAGAACCAGGACTGCGTTCAGAAAAGGAAGTGGTTTTTTATGATGGAGACATTCTCTGCGCAGGGCCCCATTGCCTCAAGAACGGTACGGCTATACATGCCACGTGCACAACTCAGTACGCCATGTAGTGTTCGCAGCTGAGGGGAAGATAAGGTTTATAGTGAACCATTCTGGCTTTCGTGCATCCATTATATGTATAAATAGAACTTACACCAGCGGTGTTTGAGAGATTTGACTGCCGCAGCTTGCCGTTCTTTGTATGGTGGAATAGTGGCGATAAAGTGGTGGGCGAGTGCAGTGGGAACAACAAAGCACATGAAAGCAAATGAAAACATATGCGCGCGCAGATGCACAATAGCAGTGAGGTATCTAGAAGCCTTATTATAAATAAGGTATTTATCTGTGTGCGCATCAATGGTGTGGACAGTGCGTAATGTTTGAGCAAAGCTATAGAGTAACTAAAAGAAATGAAGAAAACTTGGCCAGGACTCGCTATCTGGATTTCGTGCCGACCGATAGTGCCCCCGCGATCTCCGCCGACAGTGCAGCCCTGGCCGACTGGCTCGCCATACGCCATTTCCTGCCGCCGACAAGAGCTCTCACTGAGTGGTGCCCTGTTCTCGGACGCCTGCGATCATGTCCATTTTTCCTATTTCCTCTCTACTTCCATCATTTTCTGCCGTTCCCTGTCCCTGCGCCTCGATCTCTCCTTCGTCTATCTATTTACCTTTCAATCCTATCCTTTTAATTCCTCCCTACTTCCATCAATCGTGAGCTACTGTTGAGGTGTGACACTCTGATGCAGACAGTTACGGGGCTCACTTTTCTCTTCCTTTCTCTTTAAGAATCGCATAATAACATGGCCGGATGCATAGAGCTTCCTATAAATACACGCATAGAGCTTCCTATAAATACACTCGAGGGAATTCTGGCGCTATAGTGTCGCACGACACTACAGCCAGAATGGGAATGAAGTGTAGTTCACGAATTTGTCTAATCTTCACTCTTTCGGCAACGTCTGGCTACGCGTGGCCTGGAGCCATTTTGTCAAAAGACTACATTCGGCAAATGTTCAGCAGTTGCACTTCACAACCTTTTAGTCTCACCTATCCATATCAGGTCACGAAGTTCACAATGGTCTGTTCAGTTATCTTGTACAAGAACCAAAACACAGCAATAAACAAAGCCGCAAGCACGTTTGAAGCCGCAAGCACGAAGACGTGTACTACGCACCATTCCCATGCATAGTCGTATGGTCACTGAACGATCGCAGCACCGAAGTTCTCTCTTGTTAATATAAGGAAACTCCATGCCCAGAGGCACGTGGTCAATGTTCTTCCTATAGCAGTGTTTCTATTAGAAAAATCGAAACAAGGAGGACGTCAAGAAACCTAAATTGTGGGGACAGGGGTTTCACGACCCTACCTAAAATTAAGGCTTAGGTGGGAACGCAGTGTGTTATTTTCTTCACTATTTCTCCCTTCATTCGTGAAACCGAGCGCGTTTGCGCGTATCGCTGAGGCGAGTCATAAGAGTGGTCTGCCAGTCGGCCTATAAGGCTCACTGCTTACTCCAGCCTGAGGAGTAAGCAATCAACCTAATTACTATGACCTTACTATGAAGATATTTGGAAGCTATCCACGAAGATCACCTATTAAAACACGGATTGCACAGTTCAAGACGCTTGAGACAAAGAGACGCCTGGTATGAAGCGCAGCGCTCCTCCTTTTTCATAGACGGAGGGAAGGCTGTGCCTACGATTGTGCACTGAGGAACTAGTCAAGAGCATTTTCTGCTCCTCCTTTTTCATAGATGGAGGCAAGTCTGAGGCCATACATACATTCACTGTGCCTCAAGTCAAATGCACTCTTCGAAAGAATAGCTTCGGGAAACGCACCACGTGATAATCCTTTGACCAGGCTAAAGAAGCGGGCTTTTCAGCGCACTTCGTTTATATACACTGCTAATTAGTGTCCTTCCATCTAAGCTTAGCCCGTAATAGCCGCGAAAAATACAACGTGAGCTGGGAGCTTCAAGCGCCATGCAAATGTGGAAGGCACAACCTATAGTTGCCTTCGTTTTCTTTCCTGATCGGTAGGTGGTCATTGGCGGCTTATTATTCACGTCACGCCAATGGCAAAGCGCCGCACAATATAGCCGATGGGTCATTATGGCGAGCACGTGAGCTTATGCAACTGCTTATACGTTGTGCGCTGCAGAATACGTGCTAGCGGCTCTGACCCCCCGGTCGGTTACCCCGACACCAGAACGTTGCCTAGAATCATTCGCGTAAAGAAATACTAAGATGTCTTTGCCACCCAAAATATGTTTTTCTGGTCGTTTCAGGCTGAGTATTGAATTTGCATGTATCTTGCCGATAAACAAGCCCCCTTAAACGGGTGTAATTATACTGCACAGATCGCTTAGCGTGTTGTTTTTTGTTCTTTGTTGTTTTGTTTTGCAGGCCGCGGTGACGCGACAAGCGGTAGAACCTGGTCGGTTTGTGAGAGCGTTGAGAGGTACATCTTGTTGACCGAGCTTCTTGCATAGCTTCCGAAGCATTGCACCTGATCACAGTGTGAAACGGAATATAAGGCTGTACATACGGGGACAACTTTCTGTGGCAATGAAGGGGAGGCTACGGATCCAAATTGGGCGTGTGCCACCGCGGTAGAATATAGTGTCACAAATGCACCCGTGTTTTCCACTTCAAAATAATAGAAATTAACATTATTATTTTCTACTGGATGCTGTTTGTAAAGAGACGCTGCACGCACCGAGGAGGTATTCATATCTGTTTTTGCTTTCTGAAGAGTCGCCTCGCGTTTTTGCGTGTCTGGAAACAACGCACGTTTCACGTGCACCTCATAGTCAAAATGGCGTCTCCGTCTTTAGGTAAGCGCTCGTTGCGCTCCAGCTATTCTGACGACTCAACGAAGGGGCTTGTGCCCAATTTCGCTCCCAAATAGCTGTGCAAGCAGACGTATCAAATCGCGCACAGTGAGATTACCTGAACACGGCCGCCGTTTGAATCGCGAGCCGAACCGGACTATTTCGCGGAGGAGTACAGGAGCAGTAGCTCCGCCCCCGTAGCTTTCCCTTCATAGCAAAAGAAAGTATTCTTTTCCGCAACCTCTCTCTCTGATACAGGCCGGAATGCGCTATAGCGTGTGAACGTGCTCTGGTGGGGCTTATACTCCGTTTCATACATCAGATGCAACGCTTTGAAGGCTAGCGATTGATTTGATTGATTGATATGTGGGGTTGAACGTCTCGAAACCATCATATGATTACGAGCGACGCCGTAGTGGAGGGCTCCGGTGATTCCGACCACCTGGGGTTCTTTGTGAAGGCTAGCGAGACTTCTTGCAATGAATTCGTTGGGACTCCGAAATAGCACGATGATTTTTCCATCCGAGACATCTCTTTCTCTCCCTGGGCTTAGAAATAAATGAGGATCTTTTGTGCGTCAGAAATAAAGACGCCACGTTATACGGCTGCCCGTAAGCTGTTCTAGATTACTTAGCGTCTGCATGTTTTCTTTTTTTGATGTTCTACTTGTAGCCTTTCGCGACGCTATTCGTGCGTATTTCGTCGCGTTTACAGCGATAAAAGCCGTGTGCGAGACCCGCGTAGTCGCACATATTAGAGAGTTTTAGAATAGCGCTCCAGGAGCCCTTGCGGAGTGGTCGCTGCCACTGCGCATGCGTCGTAACGCTATAGTCGGCGTTTGCACTCGCGGCCCGCGCGCAGACAATCCGAAATAGCGTGTGGCAATCACGGCCCGCATGTGGCCCGCAAACGCTGGTTTCGAGACTACGGTGTCGCTGCGATCGGGCGTTGCGGTTTGCAGCAGGGCAAACGCTATTTTAACCCCCGTGTTCAAAAACGCTACTTGACTTGAACTTGACTTGAAACCGCCTTCAATGCAGCGCGTTCGAAACTCGTCTGTGCGTTTGTACTGCCTTGGCATGGCCTAAAGAAAAAGCGTTCGAAAGTTTGTGCTGCATTGGAGTCAGTGGCAAGTCAAGATCACGTCAAGGAGCGTTTCTGAAAATACGGGGATAAAGCTCACATGGCGCCCGCTACGCCCGCAACGCCTGCAACGCCCGCAGCGCTTGAAAACGGTATTCTGAAGCTCCCTATTGCTGACAGATATCCTTGCATCGGTTAAACAGCATTGCACTCGATGTATGAAACGGGGTATGAGCCAGCGGCTGCCCATGCGCAGTAAAGGGGGTCATGCCGCACTTCAGATTGTATTCCACCATAAGCTGCCTCGCATCTAAAAGAGCGTTTTTTTCATTACCTTGGCAAGCTCTCGGCGTTCCTCCTTTTGAGCGAGCACTTCCAGCCGCTTGCGTTCACGGTTGATGAGAAAGCGCTCGATGTAGTTGACGCACGCGTACTCGACGAGTGCTGTGAACACGAAGGTGAAGCACATGATGACGAACCAGTCGAGCGCCGTCGCGTAGTCCACCTTGGGGAGCGACGCACGGCCCCCGAAGCCCATCGTCACCAGTGTCAGCACGGTGGTGGCGCCTGCGCCGAGCCCGTCAAGGCGAAATTACATTCACGCAACGAAAGGGTTACTACAGCTTTCGGTGATTTACTTACAGCTTTCCATAAGTTTCATAACACTTTCATCTCAACGAAAAGGCCGATAGGCGATGACTTACAAAAGCAGTAGCTGCGTTAATACGACAGACAGACTTTCGCATAGACTGTACGTATAACCAAGTAGCATTGAACACATCGCCTCAAGTACGGCTTTCACAACCCCGCTAGTATTTGTCTCAGCAAATATCCATGTTTCCACTTGCTATTCCGTTGTCGCTGTCCTATATTCTATTTGTGCTAAGTGCGATGCACTTTATCTTGCTGTAGCGAAGCCCATTATAAAATGAGGTTAGATTGGGGCACATACTTAATATGGCGCATCGACTATTTCCCTATGAGACCCACAGCTCATGACAAGACTTTTTTTTCCTCTTTGATCATTATGACAATCTGTTTAGGTTCAGCAGCGCGTAAAAGCTTCCATAACATCAGCGTAAGATACAATTTACTTTGTGCTCCCGTCCGAGTCCAGCGTTGTTTGTCACTTAAAAATTACGCCATAACCCGCTAAAGGCGACTTTGTGTAGATGCGAAGCAACGGGCGCTACACTAGCGGCGACGTTGACGCTGGCGCTCATCGCTACGTTGCGCAGGAGAGAAACCTGGGGAGGCACAAAAAACGCAGCGATAGACCGGTGTTTTCTACGGGAACATGTCAATCACTGCTAATGTGCAGTGAGAGTCAGAAGGTTCAGATTGGACACAGAGACTCACAGTCCTCTTTTAGCCAACGCGCACGCTGAGATAATTTTCATTGTTCAAGAACACACAGCAAAAATTTCCCACCGGCCCTACTTGGGAGGTCAAGATCCATTGCCTATATATACGGGGTGGCCCATGAACGGTTGTCCAGTGTGAACAGTCAGTTTTTCCAATCAAGAAACTAGGTAGCGTCGGCGTTGCGAGGCGAGAGAGGGGGGGGGGGGAACGCAACGCCTAGAAACGCTCAGTGAAAACTGATTCTAAGTAGCACGTTTCAGTGAAACCTGATTTGCCCAATCTCAGTTAAGTAAAATGGGTCTGAAAATGTGACAAGAAGATCGGCAGAAAAAATGAATAACCGCATGGGATGGAAGCACTTTCCCTTAAGTACTCTGACAATTGATTGATTGATTTGTGGGGTTTAACGTCCCAAAACCACCATATGATTATGAGAGATGCCATAGTGGAGGGATCCGGTAATTTCGACCACCTGGGGTTCTTTAACGTGCGCCCAAATCTGAGCACACGGGCCTACAACATTTCCGCCTCCATCGGAAATGCAGCCCGCCGCAGCCGGGATTCAATCCCGCGACCTGCGAGTCAGCAGCCGAATTACTCTGACAAAGAAGCGAATGCAGAATGTTCTAAGGCGACAGACCTACAGCGACGCGGCCAGCAGCGTCGCTGCGGTTGATCCAAAACGCCACCCAGGAGGCTCCGACGATCATAGAGCATGGGGCGTAGATTTGAAGGATGAAGTAGCCCCGTCGACGGCTTAAGATGAAGCGGGTCATGAGTGAAGAACGTACTTCTGCAAAGAAACAAACAAAAGAAATCACAGCATATCCACGAGGTGAATGATGACGAATGGGGTGAAGCACAGACGGACGCACGGACGCACAGACGGACGCACGGACGCACGAATGGACTGACGGGTGCTTCGCCCCACTCATCATCATTCACTCCGGGAATATGCCGTGACACCGTATTTATTGACACGCAATGCAATGCAAATGGCTACTACGACGACTGCGGCGACGTAGGACCTACGACCCACGGCGTAAGGAGCTTCGCCCCTAAAAAAAGGGAAGAGGTATACGCGAGTCGTGAAAAGCTTAAGAGGCAGTGAAGCTGGTTGGTCTTAGGGCCTTATAACGTGGCCTTCTTGGTTAATGCAATAGGTTTTTATTTCGCGTAGTCTACGAGGTAGAGTCGAACTACAACTGGTCACAGGATACGCAAGAATGACTGAACTCCAGCGCAGGACCTAATCGGCATAGCTGGTTGTGGCTAGCTCCGCCAGTTCAGGAGCGTGGGCCTTTTGTCGCTCGTACTCGTCTCGCGTTGCGGGCAAACTCGGAGCGGCGGCTGCGCAGACTGACGATGTGTGTGGCTCAAAGAAACAGCGCCGGAGTAGCTTCGCGGACTTCTGATGTTTTACACCAAGCTTTAGAGCTTCGCTCCCCCAAACACGGCATTGCTATACAAGCACACATGCCGGCAGTTGTTACATTCGTCTACTTCCTGCAGGTAACAGAGCATTTGCGGTATCCGACCAGACTCAACTTCCGTATTTACGCACATACTGTCATCACTGACTAAAGTCTGTTAGTGCTGTTGGTTTTATGATAGTTAATGTTGCCGTTGCTGTTCGGCGATCACAATCAACCTTGTATATCCAGTGTTATATTATGAAAATTGTCTTCTTCCATTATGAGCTTAGTGATTCAGTTGGCTAAGAACTACAAAAAAAAGAGAAGATACCACACTGTAAATATACAGCCTATCAACTTTTTTCTCCTGTTGGACGCCTCTGTGTTGTCACCCATGGGGAATCGTTTCGTTCTTTCACAAATGTGGTAATTGGCTATTTCTAAGGCAACGGCGTTTCAGATTTGATTCTACCGATAGTTGCGTTTGTCTGATATACTATATTTCTGTGCTGTGTCGAAACGGTGTCACTTTCAGCCAATGCTGAGAATGAATTCCCGATCAATCGATATCGGGAAAAACTCTTCAATATACCTTGGTCCCCATGGCTAATGCATCTTGGCAAATTAACAAGTGCTGTTTCTGAAAATTGCTCTCGAGTTCATAATTAGACCTGGTTTAGAAGAAAACCACGGAATGAAATATATTACCAGGCTTGCATTTAGAAAAATAGGCCTCAGAGGGAGTCATGGAACACGTGATAAATATAAAGCTTGATTTTAGAATTATATTTTATTTTTTAATGTCAAATGTTTCTATCTATCTATCTATCTATCTATCTATCTATCTATCTATCTATCTATCTATCTATCTATCTATCTATCTATCTATCTATCTATCTATCTATCTATCTATCTATCTATCTATCTATCTATCTATCTATCTATCTATCTATCTATCTATCTATCTATCTATCTATCTATCTATCTATCTATCTATCTATCTATCTATCTATCTATCTATCTATCTATCCATCTATCTATCCATCTATCTATCTATCTATCTATCTATCTATCTATCTATCTATCTATCTATCCGCCTACGGCTGGGTGCTCTCGTGATGGCCTCCTTAACTTGGGGTAGAGCAAAATTAGTATGGGAGAGTAAGATGGTTCGGCGAATATGATTATCTGGTAATGAAATGAATAATGTGAAAGTTCTGCCGCGTAAGCCGCCAAACTCGTTCCTCTATAGAGACTTGAGGCACATACCCGTATGTCACGGGCCGCGCTATGTGGGTATGCGCCACAGGTGATTGACAGCGTATGTCTATCCGAAAACGGTGAGAACAGACGTTGGTAATTGAAGTGCGCATACGTAAAGAAAAACTGCCATCAGCCGTGTTGATAGAATAAAAATGAGAATCCCAATAGAAACCATACTCAAGCATTCTGTTTGGCACTCAATTTTTCTACCAGAGAGCAACGCCAGGTCCTAAAAACACTTAGGAAAAGGACTCGGTGCAGGCGTAATGTCGATGCAACAATAATTATGGTTGCAGTGCTGTTTGTGTAGTCTTATAACAGAGCAATAAACATCACGTATGTGCTTCTATAATACAGGCGTCATGTAAGAATAACATACGTTGTGATTACAGTGCTGGCTCCGCTTTTATACGAGTCTAACAAACGTTAACTTTGTATCCATATGATTCAGCAAACTATATTGAATCGTTGCTCGACCCCGGAACAATGTGCTGACGAGCATTACGTTTGATATTCACACGATCAAGTCATGTAGTGCAATAGTTTTGACTATACTTACAACTGGGGTGTAATGTGAGTGCTGACGTAGTTTTAAGCTAAAGGGACCCTCTAAACGCCAGTGTAATTGACGCTCCTAGTAAAACCACGATGTGCACACAACTATACTACACTCACAAAACGGATAAGAAATGTGGCATAAACAACTACTCGCTGATTGCTTCGCATGAAACCGATCCCCACAAGGCATAGGATCTGTCGACTTGTTTTATGCCATGTATTTCAAATCTAGGCGAATGATTGAAATGTCATTGAACGCGCTTATGGACTTCAGAAACAATTGAGTCTTATAGACTACAATGCATAGACGAAAGTGGAGTACTAAACTACTTCAATTATCAAGGAGATATGCAGAAAATCTGTGAGCTTGTAACTGAAGCCACGAGATATTTATGGAACATGCCAATATTTTAGGACACACGGCTGCACCAACTGGACAAATCTTTACACTTTGGCCTCACCTCTTCACTCAATCGTGTAGCGGATCACTCCAAAAAAAGGATAAATAGTGTTACGTATGTGTATTTACTCTATCGCTAAATAAGACTCGCTTGCTGGATGTCGTGCCGACTGGTTGTGCTCGCGCGAATTCCGACGACAGCGCAGCCCTGGCCGACTGGCTCGCTCTACGCCGTCTCCTGAAACTGACAAGAGCTCTCGCTCAGTGGTGCCCCGTCCTCGGACTTCTGCGACCATGTCCAACTTTCCTATCTTCTCCTTACTTCCGTATGTGGCTGTCCCTGCGACTCCCTCTCTTTCTGCTCCTCTCTCTATCTCTGAACCTTTAATTCTCCCTATTATTTTTAATCCTTCCTTACCCTCATCATCTGCGCAGAACTGTGGAGGTGCCCTCCATTGAGAGAGAGGCAGTAATGAAACTGCGCTTATTTCTTCCTTTTCCCCTTTCAAAAAGTCATTTATAGCTAAATAGGCAAACAGTACGTGGTCAAGAAGCTGAATGTCCTTGATCTGTACGTACGAGCTGTTAACAAATAACAGAGGAAGAGGCTAAGCTACTAACCTCCACCGGGTCCATACGTAGACAAGTTGGTCGCTGTCACGCTGAGGAACTCATACTGCGACAGGGTGACGTCAGGTGATATTACAACGGGTTCTGGGCCTTTCCACCTGAACACAACTTCTTTCGATGAATAGGCAACTGCAATAATAGATCCACAACCACCAGCAGTTTCATAACAAACGTTTGTTACAAAGATCAAAGATGTAATCGCCAAGGCAAAACGATGAAAAAGAAATGACATCGATTAGGGTGGTAACATTGCATTTGGGCTTGTTGGTATGATAAAGGTGAATTGACACTCACAACTTCCAATCTCCAGTGGACAGGCTTGCGTGTCCAGTGGGTATTTTCGGAGGTGCATTGGGCAGCTTGCTTTTATGGTGAGCCTGCATGCGAGACAATTTTCGTACTGGTACTAACTTCATACTTTGGTCATTCCATGACAAACGTCGTCGACATTGCGACGGACTCTTCTTGGCTCTGAATTGAACTGAACCCAACTTCATTCACTCTCAGGTTCTGTTCTAAAGAAAAAGAAAATGTGGGTAGTCATTTTACTGCACTATTTGCCCCCCCCCCCCCCCTCCAAGGTAATTTTGCAACGTGTTTTTCCGCTACCGTTAGCAGTGATTTGAACGTTACGCAAGCAGGTGATTTCCAAGAAGCTGAAAAGTCTAAAAGTACAATAATATATGGAGTGCCTTAAGCATCAGCTGGTTCCCCGAAAAAAGAATGAGGCTGTCCTGTTACCCTCTAATGGCATCCGCTACTTCGCCTCACGATATGTTTTATGTTGAAGCGATGCGGTGATTTTGCGCTTATTACTTCATTAAATATTCTGCAAAGTCTATAAACAGAATACAGCTACACCATATCGCTGGATAGTTAAGGCACCAGTAAGTCTGTTCAAAGGATATGAAGGTCGATGGCCGAATAATTTCAAGATGACGCAAAAAAAAAAACTAAATGCCCTGTGCTAATGTACAAGCATATTATTGCTGCTCTGCTAGAAGAACTGCCTCCTAGCACCCGTTTAAAGGGGTACACAAAGGAGATTTTCTTGTGAACGTTTATTCGTAGAAATTTTCGTTTTAGTCCGCTGCGTCGGTGTAGCAGTTATGGTGGTCGACTGCTCATGCGAAGGTCGCAGGTTCGATCACGGCTGCTGCGGTCGCGTTTCGATGGAGCCGAAGTGCTAGAGTGCTGTGCGCTGTTGCATGCGAGTGCACGGTAACGAACACCAGGTGGTCGAAAATTTCGGAGCCCTTCGCTACGGTTTGACTCACAATCGTATTGTGGTTTTGGAACGTGAAACCGCAGATAATATTTTTCTATTAGTAATGTACATTTTAAATGAGAAAAAATGCTTTTGTTGAGAATCGACGGCGTTTGTCGCGTTCTCTGGCGCCAGTTTGTGAGTCCGCTTCACTGAGCCGAGCATTTGAGCTGACTCTTCGGGCCACGCAAAAAGGCGGTAGCCACGTGAGTGGTAAAATGTTATGTTGCTTTGTGTTTTGCGAAGTCTGTTTACACGTATTCGTCGGCATTGTGTAGTATCGCCGACGAAGTTTCAGATAATTCGTTTAAAAATATACAATAATAGCACACACACAAAAAAAAACATTGGGGATACACTTCTCGTTTTCACTTTAATGTGCTGATCGCTCGAACATAAAGTGGACAGCTTATTTATTTATTTATTTATTTATTTATTTATGCGATACCCACAGCGTCACATGGCAATACAGTGGGGGGAAGGGGGAGGAGGATAAGCGAAAAAAAAACCAAAGCATACAGATGGCAGCTCTATAGGTTCATTAAGAAAACATACATAAATACATATACAAGAAGGTGAATAGCTCGAAGGAGAGTTATGACTCGAAGGAGAGTGTTGCTTCGGTTTCTTATACTTGGCCCTTTTGTCAAAGAAAAGTGTCAAGGAAAATATTTGTCAAGGAAAAGTGTCAAGTAATCGCTGTTACCACATCACTGTATACCCCTGTTTCAGCGATAAAGATTTGTGAAAGAACGGAGTGAAATTTCGCGAAAAAAAAAAAAAACAGAGAGATATTGGCCCCCAAAGAAGTGGGACAAGCTACCTTTGCGGTAGAGGGGGGGGGGGTTCTTTAATATAAAATTTGAAAACGTTTTTTTTTGGAAGACTCCCTTCAGAAGTGCTCCCGAAGAAGTGCCTTATGTTGAATTTCAATGGTAGACAACGAGCGCTCGGCCGGATCGCGAACAGAGCACGCGGATACGAACAAGATTGCTCTCGCCAAATCTGCGGTGGAACGCGTGCACCTCGACAGGACGTAGACTCCGAGATGGTGGGCGCGCGGAGTGTTCCTCACCAGCCGTCCCATACAGACGGAGAGAGCGTGTTTTCAGAGGTAGGCGCGGCCCGCTCTTTTCTCCGCACCGCGGCGCTCCCACAGAGGATCAAAAAGGCTGCCGCACAGTTGGCGCAGCTTGCAGGTGGCGTGAGCAAGAATGCTGTGGTGCTTTTATATAACCTGGCGCTCAATTGGAAATGTCGTGTTAAGGTGTACGAGAGGCCAAATATGTGCTGGGGCGTATATATTCTGAAATCGGTTCAAATCACCCATGTTAGAGCACTTATAATTGCAATGCCGCCGCAAGAGATTTTCATGGGATGCAAATTTACTATAATTCGATGATTGCAGGCAGTATAATATGGGGGGGGGGGGGCACTAGCGAAGAATAATAAAAAGACAGCCTGATCCGCAAGCCAAGCCAGAAGAGTACCTCGTTTTACGCTTACGGGTGACGCTCAAATAAATGTGATCTTTTTTTCCTGTCAATCAACTAGCACTGCTTTTCATCGCAGTGCCATTTCAAGAATAATAGCAGACGTGTTATGTAGCCACAGCTGCGCCGCGACGTAGTTTTACTGTTTCTTAGAAGCGCTGTACGCTGCGTAGGCTGGTACGCCTGCCGTTCCGCCGGGCTCACCGCAGCCGGGGTTTGTTCAGTGGGATTGCTCAGCGAGGAGCAAAACGATGCTCGACGCTCGAGAGATAAATAAAAAAAAACAATGAAACTGCATTTGCTGCGCGTCGCAGCTGTGATTACGTTAGGGTGCCTGCAATATTTCTAAAAACGATGTTACAATGTAAATTTGTAACGCTGTTTAAAATATACCTTACAAATTATGGCGATCAGTGACGTCACCTGATGCCGTCATCGCGTGATATTGTCGCTTGGTCGAAAGTAGGCCCCATCACGGAGACATGCAAAACCATGTGAGGCGCAGAACGCTTTCGTGAGGGGGCTGGAAAAATGAAAGCATTCATTTAGAAGAAAGAAACGATCGCTTCCGCTTACATAATGCATAAGGAATTCAAAGAGTTTGTTTCTTTTCCTTGGTAGAAGTCCACCTAATTGATAAAAGCTTTGTATTTAACAGTCCGACTGCCACATACGTGACCATAGCATTCGCGTGACGGTACTATGACTCGTACCTCATAGAGTACATGAGTCGACCGTCGTGGAACAGACGGACAAACTTGTTTGGCACGGTGACCTTGTGGAGGTAGGAGCTCTTGCCGTTGAAGAAGTACGTGTCCGGTTTCCACACGAGCTCCAGGAACTGCCAACTGACCGAGAGCACCTTGATGTCACCGTGAAAGCTGAGGCGACGGTCGTACCACGTCTGCCGGAAGTAGCAGTCCATCGAGAACATCTGCGCGTGCGTTAGTCCCCGTTATTTCCTTTTCTATGTACATAGGGCGGGAGAAAATTACAGTTCTTACACGAACGATCTTAAGTGAACATGTGACCAAACAAACAAAGAAACAAAAAACAAACAAGCAAGCAAACAAACAGATAAACAAACAGATAAAGAAACAAACTGACAAACAGAGACGCAAGCAAACAAACAAACAAAACAGGTAACCAACCAAAAAAATTAGTAATCAATCAAACAAACAAACAAGCAAATTAATAAAGGCAGGTAAACAATCTGCACCCAAAAATTAAATGGCTGGGCTTAAGAAATTTTGTTGGTGGCAATATCCTAGTTTTGTTAACAGTTTGTGAGAAAGAAAAATAGTAGAGAGAGAAGAAAGGCAGGAATGTGACCAATTTAGCCTAAACGGTACGCTACGCTGTAAGTGGGAAAGGGATGGGAGGGGGGAGGCTGTTAAAAGAGAAGTAAATAAAGTTAAAGGGTAGGAAAGGAGGAAAACACATTCAATGTCACAGTGGTCACAGTTCGGAAGTCCTGTGCAGTTAACGGCATCGTTGTCAGTCTACAGGCGGCCTTGCAAATCTGTTATCCTTAAAAATATTTACAATACCTTCATGGCTTTATTATCGATGGCATTTAGGGACAACATTGTCATCGGTCTGTGGTCGAGACTGACGGGAGCAATTGCCAGTGATAGTATGTTGAACATAGCGAGAAGAGTCATACAAGATATGCTGCAAAGTCTTCTCAATACCAAATACGTCTCAAAGAGCGTCGTCGGCCATCTCTATACGTGGTCCAAAACAACCCACGAGTAAGGTATTTCCGGTATTGTGTGACTCGTAGTCACAGAGTCAATTCTAAGCAGTGCGATGACCTCGCCTCCAATTAAGGGCGGAATGTCAGATACTGAAAAATAAATGCCTTCTCCGACTTGAAACCTCCTTCCTCTTGGTGTCGTTTACAGCCTCATCACAGCAGAGTTTTTATGCTCCCAACATTTCCTGATTCAGTGATAGAATAACTTCGAGGAGCAAATACTGTGTCAACTTAGAGTGTATGGCAGCTGCAATAACATCGTGTGAAAACGCACGTTTCTTAAGCGGGTTATTCCAATAAAGAAAGAAACGAAAGAAGTTGCATTGAGAGGGGCGATGCTGAAGGTAGGAAATAGTTAAGGCGAAAGTATTTTAGATATACATACAAAAATAAAAAAAACAGCCAAACCAACATAAATGGGCACCGAGAAAACTATCAGCATAAAATTAGGCGTTCGAAGCTAAACCATGCTTTTTGGCTATATTTCCCATAGGTTTTAGCTCTGGTAATCATGAACCGCCCACTGCCTACATCCACACTCTAACTTTCACCTGTCTGTTGCTAGGATGACGTATTCTCTAATTCTTACATCCAGACTTACCGGGTACTATTTGGTGCCTACTGAAGGTCACTTTAAGCTTGTTGAACTGATATTTTTTGAAGTATGTTAAAGTTTCTTGATAAAGAACTCTGTGCAGAGGAAAATATTTATGATAGCTCATGCCGTGTGACCGTCAGTTTTGAGGTTTTATTACGACTACTTGGCGATATATTTGCGGTTGCAGCACAGTTGTCAGAAAACATCATCTTCAACACGTGCTAATCGTCTGATAACTAAATTTGAGTTTAATAATGCATGTATATCAGAAAGTACTTTGAGAAACTCCACGTACGCGAAGGTAAAATTGCTCCTCAATGCTGAGTAAGTCTTGAATAGAAAAAAACAAGCAAAAAAAAAAAACATGCCGACTATGACAAGGTAGTTTTGACAGTAAAGCTATTTCTTATCTACCCATAAAAGCAAAACTGAAAGCTAACTGTTTTTTTCCTTTCTGATACATTCTTAATCTTGAAGTACGATGATTTTCCTTGTATTAAACTGGCTTTCAAGCCCAGGTATTTTCATAATCTCAACAGTGTTTCCTTCACAGAAGCAATGTTAACAAAACTCTGACATGCCTTGCGAGAAAAAGGGAGGAATAGATGAAAAAAATAAAAGGCAAGGAGGTCAAACAGACGAATGTGAGTTTGCTACCCTACAAAGAGGGGAAAGAAATGGAGGATAAAAACAGGAAAAAGAGAAAGAAACTGACGACACGACCTCGTGTCGTCACTTTTTTTTTCATACTTTGTCCTCGTCTACTTGGCCCTGTGAAGGAGTGAAAGGAAAAAGAGGGCACAAAGACCGCATCTGCATTTGAGTATGCAAATATATTACCTAATTAGTCCAGCCCTCCCTTTCAAGAAGTGAATTCATTTAAAAAGCAAGGCACCGTGCAATTCATGGCCTATCCCCCAAGGTAGGTTGCGCCAAGGTGTTGAGGTACCAACCAACCAACCAAATCAATACCACATTCTTTAGTCAGGTCTGTAAAAGTCAGTGACTGAGATTCAGGTCTGTTTTCTTGGCATGGTGCGGGACATCGCGTAGAAAAAGAACTTATATTTCAGAACATCAGTGCTTATAGCTCTCGGGAAAACGCAGAGATAGATGTATAAAGCGATATAAAGCTCGTAATAGATTCACAAAAGAAGGGAGATAAGGAGTGAGATGATATTAAAATGAAAATATACCATCTCGTTCTCTGACACCGGTCCAAAGCTCCTGATGAGAATATCCGTGAAGATCTCTGTTGGGGGACCTGAAATTGTGAACAAAATTAGACACCGTCACGGAGGCACCACGCTTCACTTTTCTAGAACGGAAACATTCCTAACGTAAGCCACACTGAAAGAGGGTTGTGCAAACCGAAAGGATTTTCAAGAAACCACAACGGTGACCTCGAAGGAAAGTAAACAGTCCAGCGAGAGGAGTTCTGCCTCCTTCGTCTGCAATAGACTGGAGGTTTCGTCCAAAACAATCTGGCTCTACGTCTACGGTGAGCGCATCCATCATTGATATTTAAGAAAGAAGGACTTTGCAATGTTGACAGCTTTGAATTAATATAAGTAAACTGGGAAGGTTTGTTTCGTAACTTCATTGGCACGCGATGTGGTGTATACAGTCAACGTGGAAACGTTAAAACACCAGTCGCGAATGCCCGAAATATACTGCGTGAATGTGCAAACTTGATTTCAAGGTGACCTTAATTGTATTAATGATTACATTTGTGGATAGATTATAAGCGAAAGACGCTAACGGGAGAAGCTTGAAGCTTTTTCAGTCCCTCACGTCCCTTTTTTTTCGGATTAAGGTTATATCAGCATTTTTTTTTCATGATTCTGGTACGCTCACCGTCAAGAGTTATTTCGTATACACGGTGTCTAGTATTCCAGCACAATCTGTCTAGCATATTTCAAGTGACCTGCTCTAACATGATAAGTAGGCGCAGCATTGCCTCTCTGCATTCCCTCCAAGGCTTTCCTTACTTCCTCTGTCATTATTGGTGGGATGTGCGGTTTCTCAGGGCTGCTGCTACGTTCATTATACCTCTGGTTAAGCTGGCTATACTGTACATATCTTCGTCGAGCTCCTCAGCTGTTTCATTTATCTTATCAATATTGGTAGTGACAATGCCGGACTGGTCTTTGAGTGCATACTTGTGCCGCTTTGAGGCTTCGTTCGTTCTTTTGAGCGACGCTGACTCACAAGGCGCCAAGCGCGGCCTCCAGAATTTGGTGACCTAATGCTCAGCAGTGCCGTGTTATGGCCACTGAGCTACCGTGACAGAAAATTTCTTAAGCTAATGGCCCACGCCAACCAAATCATCCCCACGACCCAGTAGCACGAAGCCCGTTTCCGCTCCTTCCCCATGTTTACAAACTCTTCATCTATCCCCTTCCATTCCACAAAAAAACAGAAAACTTGGTCCTAGGGCCGGGCGGCAAAATCTACTCTCGTGCATCATATTAAAAATAGGAGAGACGTCCCCGCGAGTGTGATACCCGCGCCCAGATTAATCACGAGCGCGACCTCGCCCACAAGTGCGCAGGCGCTGTGGTTGGGCTCTCGGCCAACGGGATAACCCCCGAAAGTCTGCCATGGCGATCCGGACTGTGATTCACCTCTCTATGAGGAGAACGTAGGAAGTCAGTACTTCCTTTTCTTCACGCTTTGCCTCCTCTCCGAGTTCATTTGAACGTTCAAGAAAATGAAATCCGGGGCACTGAAGTTGACGCCACGAACCATGGCTGTCTGAGCTATTCACTTCCATTCCCCTGTTCACAGTCAGATTGATATCTTGATTGATCGACGCACGCACGCACGCCCCCCCCCCCCCCCCACTAACACACAAGCAAACAAACAAACAAACACACGAAAACTATTTAATATTATACTTCCACGAAGACTTATAGGATAATTATTAGGTAAGACATCGCTGTTCCGGGCGAAAATAACCTGTCGAGGAGGGTATTGATGATTTTATCTCTACTAAAACGTATCTAGTTGTTGAGGCGTCTGAAGAAAACCTCTAACAAAAAGGCACTCGTCGACCAACAAACTATCCATATTAAAATGGTATCTATAGTCATCTTTTTCGGGGCATATTTTCCTTTCCTGCAATTTTCTAAATCCTCCTTGAATTGCCTAAGATGACTGGAAAGCTAAACAAATTTACGTTTCTATATACATTTTATGTCACTCAATTTACATTACATGTGGTGACGTTCGGGTAACGCACGGTTGCTTACCTATGCTATACCCAGAGCTTCGTTCACTCGCAATGATCCACTTCGTGGAGATGCGCGGATTTTTTCAGTCCCCATAGTGTGCCGCGTTGTGATATCTAAATCCACATGATTACTGACATACATACATACATACATACATACATACATACATACATACATACATACATACATACATACATACATACATACATACATACATACATACATACATACATACATACAGAAAAGACGAATGGGGTTGAGGTTGGTATACGTCGAGTTGATATCTCGAACGTGCCGAACGTCCAGTGAAATCTAAAATTAGCCGCAGTTCCCAACAACAGGAAGTTGCCTACACTGTTCTCGGTGCTGCTTGAGATTACACAGGTTCCTCTTGCATAGCTTTGTTCCCTTTGTCTCTATACAAGCTGGAGGAGAGATGTTCTGAAGCGCGAGAGGTGAACGCGGGCTGGTGGTTGCAAATTTGGTTCGTATGCGAGCAGCCTCTCGGCATTCTTCTTCCGCGTCTTACGAGGCGCACGCACCAGCAGTATTTCGAGGAAGCTTGCAGCCGGGCGAGGTTTTCCTGAACACCGCAGGCTACAAGACCACGAGGAGGAATGATGGATGACATGCGAATGTGGACTCCCCTGACCTCAAACGGCGGCTGAGCGGGCTCGCCTGAGTTTTTCGCTGGAACCAGTGCCAGGGGCCTGCTGCAATGTGGACCGTTTCCTTTTCAACAGGTTCCACCACACACTGCGACCACGCGGTGGGTTTCTTTTTCACTGATACGGAAGGTGTTGATATGCATCCGTACTGTTGTTCGCTGGAAGTAAACCAGGTTCTCTCCGAATGAATTAAAGGTTCTCCTTTGAAATTTCAGAGTGTATGAAAAGAAAGCTTTCATTTGCAGTGGATACCCGGTCTAACAAAACGCGATTTTACGAATTTATTAGTTTGTCAAGAAATCGTCCGTCCGTGGCTGATACCCATAGGGTTGACTGTTGTTATCAAATAGAATTAAGGTACCAGGCACTGAACTCGATGTTTTGTTTAGGAAACAAACGAGGTAAAACGCTGTGATTTCTTTCTCAGTCTTACCCAAACGGCTTGTAGTTGAGCTTGCGCTATAATGTTATTGAATTAAAACATCTAGCCTACGACAACGGATTTATGTGGCGAGGCCTCGCAGTTGGTAGTGCTGTTACATATAAAATGGTGCTGGGTGGTATTTATCATCTCGTTGCCCCTGCAAATGCTCCAACATAATCTATCTATCTATCTATCTATCTATCTATCTATCTATCTATCTATCTATCTATCTATCTATCTATCTATCTATCTATCTATCTATCTATCTATCTATCTATCTATCTATCTATCTATCTATCTATCTATCTATCTATCTATCTATCTATCTATCTATCTATCTATCTATCTATCTATCTATCTATCTATCTATCTATCTATCTATCTATCTATCTATCTATCTATCTATCTATCTATCTATCTATCTATCTATCTATCTATCTATCTATCTATCTATCTATCTATCTATCTATCTATCTATCTATCTATCTATCTATCTATCTATCTATCTATCTATATCTATCTATCTATCTATCTATCTATCTATCTATCTATCTAGCTATCTATCTATCTATCTATCTATCTATCTTATCCGCCTACGTCTGGGTGCTCTCGTGATCGTCTCTTCACCTTCGTGTATCAATGAAATTTGGTATGGGAAGATAAGATAATTTAACTAATATAACTGTCCATCAACCGCATAACGTGAAAATTCGCGCACGTCATCAAACCCTGTCTTCCACACACGCGAGGCACAATACCGTATACCATGAGCAGTGCTATACGTGTATGCACCACAAATAACGGACAATTTATATCTACCCAGAAATGGGGGGAACAATCACTGGAAATATAAACGCGAGAGCATTAACAAAATCTGACATCGGTATCGTTGACCTGGCGATGCACAGAACAAAAATCAGCATACCAGAAGCAATCGAACCCAAGTATTATAGCTGGCAGTCAGGTTGGTCAGGCATTCTGCAATCTGTCACGCCAGGCCTTGACGCTTCTTTCAAACAAACCCTATGCAGGCGTAATATCAGCACAACGTCACTTGTGGTTGCAGTGTTGGCTCTGCTTTTATAGCAATCTGATACACCCCCATTGTCTTACTGTAATCTAACAAGCTACATTCCAGCGTTGCGACAAAATTTACATATAATATTCACATCATCGAGCCGTAAAATGCACTTAATTTTGGTCATAGCGACGTCTGCGCTCTAGCATGAGTGCTGAGGTTACCTTTTAAACTCCTCTGCAGTCTACGTTCCTGTTAAGACCACGGTGGGCACGCAACTGGTACTCTCACAAAAATACGTCTATTCACGTCATAACACTTGGCTGAAAGCCCCGAAGAAATGTAGCATACACTAATACTTTCCGATTGCTTCGCATGAAACGAAATCCCATAAGGCATGGGATCTGCCGAATGTTTTCTTATTCATTTCAAGCTCGTACCTTGCAGTGTCTCTTTTTGTTCGCATTGCTCCTTATACCGACTATAGTAGCATTTCAAAACGTGTAGATACGTTAAGCTTCAATGTTGAGGATAAGGTTCATTGACAGATTTGCCTCTTCCATCATAGCAGTGCAGTCGGAAATGCTGCCCCCGACCGCTAATGTTGTCGCTTCACTGAAACAATTCTTTACTTTAAATATATTGATACGTGTATGTAACTGTCGCTCTGGCACAAGCATTGAAATGACACCCAAAAGAAGGAAGACGACAACGTGCTTGTTGTGAGTTGGACTCTCGAGCTTCCACGTTGGCCTGCATGACTGCGCTCTGTACCGCGTTAGCAAGACCCGCTCTCTACGAACAAATCTTCCCCGTAACATCTTCTTGCTGGAAGGTGTGGGGTCTTCACACAACCCGGCTCTGTAACTCCGCAGTGGACGCCACCTTTGTACAGCCGCAATGCCTGAAACCGGCACT